ATTCGAAAGGGGCCTCGCCTGGCTTCACCACGCCTTGTTCTTCCCCTTCCATTACCACTTCGATTGGGAAACCCGCAGTTCTCGCGATGCTGCGCTGTACAATCCCTCGAGCTCTCGTGAGCATCCCTCGTCGCTCGTGCATCGTGCTGCCTCAGCAATGGACCCGCAGCATCAACACATTTCGGCCGACGTTGCCCGTGTCCTCCGACGCGCCAACGACGCGACGAGACGAGTCCCTCGGCTACGGGCAAGATCAACGCCATCTCCACCGAGAGAACTGCCACATCTGCCTGGCCGAGCAGAGCCGCGAGCAGCTGGCGGCGATGCCTATCGTGCGCAAGGGCCGCGGCCTCTACGTCATGGGCACGACGTGCGACGCCTGTTGGGCCGTCCTCTACGAGAAGGCGCAGCAGACGCAGGCCGAGACGTTCGCTCGGAACCAGGCCCGCAAAGCGCGGTCCGACGCCATGCTCGATGCCGTGCGCGCGATTGACGCCTTCGAGGCCGTCCCCATCAGATACGCGTCCGAGAAACTCGCCCGGTCGAGCATTGGGCGACGGGGCAATTCGCTCGAGTGGCATCGCCGCCATCTCGTCTCGTCGCGCTCGCGCCTGGGGGCTCTTTTGCAGATCGCCAAAGTGCGGAACCGGTATCAGTGCAACAAGCTACGTGTTGATGCCATGGATTTCGAGGCGTGGTATCCGTATGAACCGGAGCGGGGAGTCAAGTGCACCAGCATCTGAGCTCGATCGAGTACGGCGGACTTCTTTCGACATACGGCAGAAACTATCACCAACGAGATCTCTACGGCGGACTTCTCCTGACCCACCTTTCCACCTCCCTCAAGGTACCCAAGCCGGTCGCCAAACATGGCAGAAGGAATGCTCAGGTACCTACTTCATGAAGCATTCCCGCCTTGACAGGAGTACCTTACCGCACGGCATCGATTATACTTTCCATGTCTGTCATTATCTGCCATCCCGCCCATCAGGGTAGTAGACCTAGCAGATGCTACGGCACACCATTAGCACCGCGGGTACTGGCGTGCTTTGGGTGGGGTACCCTTCTGACGGCAGGACCAGCGCTTTCCGGCTTTGGAAGCAAATTTGCG